AAGGAGATGCCCCCCCGAAACAAAAGAAAGAATTAGGATGACCCATGGGTGTAGCTCCGGCTGTCTCCCGGGAAGGCGAGAAGCAGAAAGCAGAGAAGCAAACAAAAACTGATGCATTTTTGTGAATTTGTGTCGATTACGAGTTGTGATTGGCATAAGCATAGAAGCTTTCAACAGCTGTTGACAGAAGCAGAGAAGAGAAGAAGCAGGGTGAATCGGCAATGGGTTTTCTTTTTCTTCATATGCACGAAGAAGGCAAGCAGCCATGTTTTCATCTTCTCCCATACTTCCCTCCTTTATCCATTTGCTTTACTTGTAATACACTGCTCTAATGATGTTATGAGAATGATTTACACATATAGTAATTTGAATATAGGCAGAGAGGAAAGGCAGGGAGGGAAAGAGATATATGGATCACAAGATTTTTGACCCTTTTGCTTTTAGTCAAGATCTGGAATTTCTTTTTCTATACTTAAGATCTTCTAAACAGTTGATTTAAGTGTGGTTAATGGAAATTATATACACACACACACATATATTGGGTAGAAGATACCACTGACATACACCAAGTGACTGTCAATTCCTCCATTTCCAGAGAATTCGTTTCTGGTATTTTTTCTTTGTGGATGATATTTATTGTCAGCTTTTTTTTTGCTGGATATACCCTTTTTTTCCTCTCTGGGTTCTGGTGAAAAATTGAAGGTTCGCTACCCTAGGTTCCTGCTACTTCTCTCCTCTTCTGAAGTTCCGCACAGCTCCGCAGTTCTGTTCTATTCTCTCTCAGTTTTGGTGGCCGTCAGCTTCTCTTCCAGAACCAATAGGCGAGTGTTTCTCTCAGTCTTGCAGCATTTCTCTTTGCTCCTCAAGCTTCTCTCACGTGCACTTCTCAGTGAGGGAGGAAAGCATTAATTTCTAATTTGTGGAGAAGTTACCATGTTACTCAAATGGTGGAGGGTTGCTAAAGTGGGGGATGATGTAGAAAAAATTATACGTCATCATTGGGTGGCAAGTCAATGCCGCGTGACACTGACACACGGTGTTGACTTGGTGGTTAGATAACTTCAGTTGAAGTGTTTATTTAAAAAATTTCTAAAAGTACAGAGGCTAGTAGAGAACAAAAATGACAGTAAGGATTTAAATAGAAAATTAAGAATCATATAGGGGGCTATTTTTCTATTCAAGTCATCCCAATAATCACTTCTATTGAATCCCACATTTGTTTGTCCAAAGGTGGATCAAAGGGTGGTGCTAGGAAATATCACTCGTGAACTCTGAGGTTCTTATGACATGTTTTAGGATTCTTCATTTTGTATATTTGAAGGACTGTGAGGAGTTGATCTTTTTTTTTACTGGAAAGCCTTCTCACATTGTTCACATGTTTGTATAATACATACTTCATTAATCATTATTGTCTTAGTGGTTGGCTTTTTTCATGTTGCTCTCTCTGACCTTTGTTCCATTTGGATATTTGAAATGCAAACTTTTGTATGGATACATTTCTCCTCTTGCTCTTCAGGTCAAACACAATGAAAAATCCTATGGACTTTGGCTTATGTACATCAACAGTCGGATCCAACTTGATGATCATTTGATTGCTTTTGATGCTGCCCTCTCAGTGCTATGTCGTCACGGATCTGCATCTGAAGGGGATGGAATGTATGCCAGTGCATGCATCTTAGACCTGTTTATGCAAATGATGAATTGTCTTTGCATGTCTGGAAATGTTGAGAAAGCCATCCAGAGAATCTTTGAACAATTGCCAGCAGCAGCAGCAGCTTCTGATGAATCTGACCCTCTGATGCTTTCTCATATTGCCGCATGCTTGTCAATTGCTGATAAATGTGTATTCTGGATTTGTTGTGTCTACTTAGTTATTTACAGGAAGTTACCAGGTGCAGTGGTACAGCAATTTGAATTTGAAAAGGAACTCAGTTCTGTCAGTTGGCCATCTATTCAGTTGGCAGATAAGGAGAAGCAGGGGGCTGTTGAGCTTCTAGAAATGGGAGCGAGTTCAATTGAACTGTTTGTCAATAATGGATCATTTGAGAGTAAAGTTAATCTCAGATCAGCAGAACTTTTTGCTCTCAACCACCTCAGATGTATGTTGGCACTTGGTGACTTAGAATGCTATGGAAACTTGTTGAATAAATATGTTAAGCTTTACCCATCCTGCTTGGAGCTTGCACTGCTATCAGCAAGGGTGCAGCAAAATGATAATGAGGACTTGACTTTTGCTAGATTTGAGGAAACTCTTAATAACTGGCCAGAGGAAGCCCCTGGAATTCAGTGTATTTGGAATCAGTATGCAGAATTTGCTCTACAGAATGGAAAATCTGGCTTTGTAAAGGAACTAATGGTTCGTTGGTTCAGTTCAGTTTGGGAAGTTCAATATCCTCAAATGGAAAATTTGAACTTTTTGGATGGTAGCCAGTCAGGGGGCACAGTGACCGCCACTAATTCTAATAAGATGGATGTATTGTTTGGGTTTCTTAATCTCTCTCTCCACAAGTTATTGCAGAATGATCATGCTGGAGCTCGCTTAGCTATTGATCAGGCTTTAAGGATTGTTGTTCCTGAGAATTTAATTCATTTCTTGAGAGAGCATGCTGTGCTTTTGCTTATTGATGAGTCACAGTCAAAGGATAATTTTTCTATCAATTGCCAGTTCAACATTTTGAAAAAAATTTTGGATCATGCCCAGTCTTTCCCCTTGTTGGAGCCATTGCCAATGCAACCTATTAAGAACATTGAAAAACCAAGAATCCAACAACTAGTTTATAATCTACTGATTCCAGTCTCATTTGATTTTACAGTTGTGAACTGCATCCTTGAAACATGGTATGGCCCATATCTTTTACCCCCGGCATTAACTAAGCTAAAAGATCTGGTGGATTTTGTCGAGGCAATCTTAGAATTAGCGCCATCGAACTACCCTCTAGCAATTTCTACATGTAAGTTGTTAACTGGGAGATGCAGCCATGCCAATGATGAGTATGCTAGTATCTTGTTTTGGGCAAGCTCAGCCTTGTCGAATGCACTCTTCCATGCCATCCCAGTTGCACCTGAGTATATATGGGTGGAGGCTGCAGATATATTAGGCAATATTGCAGGTGTTGAGCCAATATCAGAAGGATTTTACAAGAAAGTTTTATCAGTTTATCCATTTTCTGTCAAATTATGGCAATGTTATTATAATCACTCCAAGAACACAGGATCTATGAGCAATGTTATGGAAGCAGCTAGAGAAAGGGGTATTAAAATTGATTGAAGTTTCAAATGTACACAGAATTTTTTGAAAAGATATACAGAATTTTAGATTGTTAGCGTCAGTGTCTCAGGAGAATGAAAATTTTTACCCAGGTTTTTCTTTTTACCAGTAATTTTGCTCGAAGCCAGTTTAAAGGATGACTAAACAACTTTGGAAAATTTTGGATATGGGGAGGTGCACAAAGGATGTGAAACTAGATTCTGCAGGTAGATATACAGATGGGAGAATGACAGATAGGTTTAGCTTTCTTCTTCTTGGAGAACAGTGAAGATATACAGCCTGGGAGAATGAGAGATAGGTTTAGCTTTCTTCTTCTTGGAGAACAGTGAATGATTAGGCAAATGTAACTTAGGTCCCTTGTCCAATTTGTCTTATCGGGGAGTTTCTGTGCTTTATGTTAGTTGTATCCAGATTACTTTAACACCTGGCAATTATCTGTATCAACATAGTTGAGATGAATACTGTTGGTAGTGATGTTTTTAATCTGGCTATTCATTCCTGTGGCTTCAGGTTATATTACAGGGTAATTTCTTCATTTTATTTTACTGACTCAAGAAATGTCTGCATACCTGGTTTATCACCCAATGGGTGAATCTAATTGCCTGTAAGGGTAAAATCTCAATGTGCCTAATTGCCTGCCAGCTCGTATGATTAAATTTAATACTGAATATATTGAATCATAGCTTTTTTAAAAATGATGTTGTTATATTTATACTAAAACCTATATAAACATATGATTGAATTTAAATTTAAACATTACCTTAATCGATTATTAGAGACAGTGCTTTCTAACATGAATGTTTTACTCATCTCATTTTATAAATCATATTAATTAATTTAAATTTATCATAAATTTTTAACAAAATAATTTATGTACTAATTTTCTTTATTCAATTTATAAATAAATTTTTTGTGTCATCAACAGGTGGTTAATCAATGTCGTTTGATTTGAAGTTAATTTTCTATTAATTTTAAGTATTTATTTGAAAAAAAAAAATTAAAATATATAAAGACTTATATGGAATAAAAAAATATTTAAGACTTAAATAAGAAAAATATTAAAATTTGCCGGACTTTTTTTATTATTTAAGTCCAAAAAAAATTATAAATAAAACAACCCTAAAAATGATCTTGATGATTGGATGTACACGTAGACAGTGGTGGGCTGACGTGGTATACCCGTTTCTCCGGATAATTTCCCCCTTGTTACCGCATCGTCTTCATTTGTTCTTAAACTCCTGAAAACCCTAGTCTTTTTAGTAGATTTTTATTTTTTTTAATTTTTGTTTATTTATCGCGTAGTTTATCAAAGCTAGATCGTTTTTTTTTTTAAGAGTGTTCAATTCAATTCTTATTCAAAATGAATAACTTGAAGCTCTATTCCGAGATTCCTCTAAATCTCCAGTTACAATCAGAGAAAGAAACTATACTCTTCTCTGCACTTGACATCGAGCGAAACCGCCTGTTCTTTGCTTCTTCCACTAATTTCATTTACACAACTCACCTTTCTTCCTTCCAGGTATATGCGTATTTGTGTTGCTGTCTGCATACGCTTGTAATTATATATTCGTGTATGTGCATGTTAAGGATGAGATTCTGTACGTTAACTGATTCAAGGATGCTGTTGGTTTCCTTTTACTCCTTGTGCTTTGCTGAGGAAGCTGATGGGGAGAAGGGGATTGGATGTCTCGTTTGCGTGTTTATGTTGGGCATTTGTTTATGAAGTTGAACTGTTGTGTTTTCTTTCCGGGCATATTTTTTTCTTTTATTCGAGTGCAGCTTGTAATGAATATGAAGCTAACATTGGTTGAATGGGCTTAGGAAGGGAGTTGCTGAAGCTTGAAAAAGTAATGAATGTCAATATGAAACCATTCTTTTGCTGATGTACTTTTGAGCTTGAACCTGAGAGCATATAGAAGTAACCTAATGTTTGATAAGAAGCAATGTTTTAGTAATCACATTGCGGAGACAGGATGTTCCTGTGCAAGCTTACTTTTAAATGTCACAATGCAATTCACTTATGGACAGTGCATACAATTTAGAAACCTTGGTATTCTGGGGATTTTGGTACCATAGTTAATTTCAGGAAGTTGGTGATGTTTAGCATATGGAATGATTACATAGTTTGTATAAATATAAGCTTTCTCACTTCTTTCTCCTCTAACTAAGAGCTGATGTATTTGCCAGAATGAAAGAGTTTGGAGTGAAGCCTTGTTACCAGCAGAAATTGATTGCATTGATTTGGAACCCGGGGACACTATTACGTCCTTTGATTATCTTATGGAGAAAGAAGGGCTGATTTTGGGGACTTCGGGTGGACACTTGCTCATGCATGATGTGGATGCTAATGCAACAGAAATTGTGGGTATGGTGGAGGGCGGTGTTAAGCGCATCTCACCCAGTCCCGATGGAGATGTGTTTAGTGTAATTACTGGTTTTGGACAGTTACTAGTGATGACTCATGATTGGGATTTGTTATACGAGATTACTTTGGAGGAACTTCCTGAAGGTGTTGACGTACGTAAGGACCTTTCTCCATTATTCTTAAATTTCAATCAGTATATTATCATTGTTTTAGTGTATTTGCAATACTAGAACACAGTTACTTAAAGATACTTTTCAAATCATCTTGTTGAAGGATAGCTTTTGTCTTAGTACATTTTCTGCAGTATTTGAATAATTTTCTTATTGAAATGTATTCACGTGAACCAAAATCTTGTTCCTGAAATACGTGAGATTTCAATCATTTCACTATCGATGTTTTAATGTAGTTTTGCAATACTGTAATGCAGTTCCTTAAAGATCTTTTCAAGTCATCTTGTTGAGGGAAAGCTTTTGTCTTGGTACCTTTTCTGCAGTATTTGAGTAATTTCTTTTTTATTGAAATGTATATTCAGGTGAAGCAGAATCTTGTTCCAGAAATCCATGCGAGTATTCCATCTCTTGGAGAGGTGATGGTAAATATTTCGCAACTTTGAGTGAGGTGTATAATTCTATTTCAGTCCTCAAGAGGATTAAAGTTTGGGAGCGGGATTCTGGTACATTGCAAGCTTCTTCAGAATCAAAGAACTTCGCGGGAGCAGTTCTCGAATGGATGCCAAGAGGGGCAAAAATTGCAGCTGTTTATGACAGGAAAGTAGATAATCAAAGTCCCTCAATTGCTTTCTTTGAGAGGAATGGACTGGAAAGAAGCTCATTCATCATTAATGAGCCAGTAAATGTTACTGTGGAAATGCTAAAATGGAATTGCACTTCAGATCTTCTTGCAGCTATTGTCAGATGTGAAGGGTATGACTCTGTTAAGATATGGTTCTTCAGCAACAACCATTGGTACTTAAAACATGAAATTAGATGCTCAAGAGAGGATGGAGTAAAGTTCATGTGGGATCCAACAAGGCCACAGCAATTGATTTGTTGGACTCTTAGTGGGCGGGTCATGCTTTACAACTTCGTTTGGATTACAGCTGTTATGGAGAACTCAACTGCCCTAGTCATTGATGATTCCAGGATATGTTTAACCCCCCTTTCTATGTCCTTGATGCCACCTCCTATGTACTTATTCAATCTGAAATTTCCAAGTTCTGTCTGTGATGTGGCCTTTTATTCAAGAAACTCCAAAAATTGTCTAGCTGCAACTTTATCAGATGGCTGTTTGTGTGTTGTGGACCTTCCTGCTTCTGATGTGTGGGAGGAATTAGAAGGCAAAGAATTTAATGTTGAAGCTTCTCTCTCCGAAACAAAATTTGGGTCTTTTGTACATCTTGTGTGGTTGGATTCTCATATACTTCTCACTGTGTCTCACTATGATTTCTGTCAAGGAGATTACTTTTGTCAAACCTCGGCAAGCAAGGATGGGCTTCATGGTTTTTACATGCAGGAGATTGAGCTTACGTGTTCTGAGGATCATGTCCCAGGTCTGGTGACATGTTCCGGTTGGCATGCAAAAGTTTCCCGTAGAGATTCTCTGGATAGGCCAGTAATTGGTGTTGCTCCTAACCCTGCTAAAAGATGCTCAGCATTCATCCAGCTTGATGGTGGAAGAATCTTAGAATATATCTCAAAATTGGGTCTCATTAGAAGTGCTCCTACACATGATGATATTAGTTTTTCATCCTCTTGCCCTTGGATGAGTGTGGTTCCAGTTGGTGGCAGTGGGTCTGTGAAGCCTTTGCTTTTTGGGCTTGATGACATAGGCAGGTTCCATGTCAGCGGCAGAATACTCTGCAATAATTGTAGCAGTTTCTCAGTTTACTCAAAGCTGGATGATAACTTGGTCACCCATGTAATTCTTGCAAGTAAACAATATCTGCTCTTTGTTGTGGACATCAGTGATATACTGCATGGAGAAATGGAGTTAAAGCATGAGAATTTTGTTCATGGTAATAAAAGGAGAGGAGAAGAAGAAAACATGAACTTTACGAATATCTGGGAAAGAGGTGCCAAAATAATTGGTGTCTTGCATGGGGATGAAGCTGCCGTCATCTTACAAACAACCCGAGGGAATCTAGAATCCATTTACCCAAGAAAATTGGTCCTTGCTTCAATTGTCCATGCTTTGGTCCAGAGGCGTTTTAGAGATGCGCTACACATGGTGAGGCGGCATAGAATTGATTTTAATATCATTGTTGACCATTGTGGTTGGCCAACATTTCTTCTATCAGCTTCAGATTTTGTTAGTCAAGTCAACAACTTGAGCTACATAACTGAGTTTGTTTGTGCCATAAAAAATGAAAATATTACAGAGACACTCTATAAAACGTTTATCTTGTCACCTTCCTCACAAGAGCTTAAGGCAGAGCAGACCAAAAGCTTCGATTCTGATTCTAATAACAAAGTAACTTCAGTGCTGCTTGCAATAAGGAAAGCCCTTGAAGGAAAAATACCAGAAAGTCCAGCAAGGGAACTTTGCATCTTGACCACTCTCGCTCGTAGTGATCCTCCAGCTCTCAAAGAAGCTTTGAAGAGGATAAAAGCTATACGTGAAATGGAATTATTAAGTTCTGATGACCCCAGGAGACTGTCTTGCCCTTCTGCTGAAGAAGCTCTGAAGCATTTGTTGTGGTTATCAGATTCTGAAGCTGTATTTGATGCTGCTTTAGCCTTATGATTTGAACCTTGCAGCTATTGTA